TCTTAACCTCTTATAATTTTCTATATCTTCATTCTTCTTCTCTTCCATTCTTACTAAAAATATAAATAACATAAAAACAGAAATTTATGTTAAGGCTACTTATAGCCTACGGAAAATTAAAACAACAACAGCACCCTGACTTGAGAGCAAGGGAAATATCTAAATGTTAAACAGTTCCAAGGGAAATGTGTTTTATTTTATTAAAGACAACCACAGTTCAGGTACTAATTTAGGCAATGGTTTCCCCTACCCTTTTTTTTTTAAGATAAGAACTGACTTCCAGGCATGACATTTATTTTCTTTTCTTGTTCGAAAGATAAATGCTAAAGTTTAATAATCCATTTCCCTTTTGTTACACATGCGGAAAGTCACAGCCATATAGACAATCAATCTATGTCTGTCTACCATAAAAATGTATACTTGATTTGCATTTGTGACTTTGTTTACATATTTGTAGCACCTAAATGTTTACTCTTTTCATATCCCATTCCACTATCCAACATCTTTATTTTCTATTGCTCTGATTAGGTGATAAGAATGTAGCTTTTTTTTTTTTTTCTGTTATCCAATTAAATAAGGTAAAGAATTATTGTTGTTTTGAACCCACAAATTCTTATTATGGGAGAGAGAGCCACTGTTACCCAGGCCTGAGAGAAACTGAGGTTAAAGCTGTTTCTCCTACAAAGGCCTGGTTGGAATTGGGGTGGTGGTAACCTTAATGCAAAGAAAGTCCCAGGCAGAGGCACCAACATCCCCTAAATTTTAATGAAAATGTAATGTTGATCAAATAATGAGGTTGTTAAGGAGGTCACCATGAAAGCCAACTAAACTATGGTTATATTTTAAGAGAAAGAAAAGAGGCAATAAAGGAAACAAGTCCTATAAATATGTGTTAAATATATGTATCAGTAATACTTAGTAAAAATTCTTATAGTGACAAATGTCTATTTATATTTATATAAGTATTTCCTAAAATATCTGCTTTGTGGGTTCATTAAAGAGTTCAGAATACATTGCTAGTTGGATTCTGTGTACTTTATTAAGATAAGCTATAACTTTTATAATCAAATCAAGACAACAGACTCATAGTTGTCAGAGGGAAAAAGGTTGGGGGGAACTGGGTGAAAAAGGTGAAGGGATTGAGGAGTACTTATTGTTAGTTACAAAATCATTTTGGGAATGTAAAGTATAGCATAGGAAATCAATAATATTGTAATAGTTAAGTATAGTGTCAGTTGGGCACTGGAAATATCAGGGAGAATATTTTGTGAAGTACATGATTGTTTAATCACTACACTGTACACTTGAAACTAATACAAAATAATATTGAATGTAAACTGTAACTGAAAAGAAATTTAATGTTATATAATATTGAAAGAGAAAGAGGTTAGTTGGTCTGAACCGATAGAGGACCAACAGGTTTAAGACTACGGATTTTGTGTCTGCAGATACATCTCTATAAAATCTGTGTTATTTATAAAGAGAAATATGCCCATGAGTATACAGACAACATATAGCATATTTTCTATACAACGCTCATATGTGTGTGGTGCACTGTGTAGCTGTAAATCATGGCAATCTGAAAAATGCAAGACATTACACATGATAATCATTACTTATTAAATGATTAAGTAATTTTGCTTTGTCTAAAAAAAAAAAACACTTCAAAGTATGAATTGAGAAGGATTTTACTGTTGGAAAATTATAGTTAAATATTTTATCTATTGCTTGATATGCATCTACCAAATAAAAGTTGGAAAAGCCATGCTTGTACATACAAAGCCTTAACACATAACTGCTTCTCATTTAGTAAATTACTCCTCAGTCATCACTACAGCTTAACTCTCCCATATTTTATGGAGAGTCTTGTGATAAAATAACAGAAGTGAAATGGTATGCAAAAGTAGGATGAAGAGTAATAAATCGAACTTTTCTTCCTAATGTCTTTGTGTAATCTTTTTCCTTCCTCCAAAACTCAGATAAGAATGAATAGAACTTAGCTTTAGTGGGAAACACAAGGTGGACAATTTACCCGAGTTTCTGGGTCCAAGGAAAAGGAGAGCATTTCTCCTTTCATATGGTCACCTGCCTATCCCTTCTCAGGAGAATGGGGGCTCACCTACCAGAAGAGCACTGGGCAGGCATGGGAAAGAAAAAGAAGAGGGGTGGTTGCAACTAGATGAGATAAATGCCACAGAGAAGGTCTGGGTCCAATTTCAGGAGGCACAGTTTCAGAGAAGTATCTATCTTTTAGACTAGAGAGACAGACACTGCTTTAGAAGAACATTAAAATGATAGCACCTCCTGAAATGAACCTCCTGCCCTGCCAGCCTTCCCTAAGCCACAGTGTTTCCCAACATTTGGGGTGTGTTTTGTCTGAGTATGGGTGTGGGCGTGGGCATGATAACGGGCCCTGCTGTGTGTGCAACTGTATGAAAGGCCAAAAATCAGAAGGAGAGAATCAGGAATCAAAACATTGACTAATGATTTCTAACCTGAAGCAAAGCAGATGCAATGTTCACCCAGAATGTGCCTCTGCTTCAATGTTTCACTTCACACACTACCACACGATACAGCCAGGAAGAAAAAAAGAAAACAGATTTTTTTTTGGAAAAATGTTTTATTTAAACGTTTTTAATCTTTTACAACAATAAAATATTGTGTCAATATAAACCCCTTGCTAAAACTGTTCACATCAAACATTACAGCGAATTGTTTTCTTTCTGACACCCAACTCATCTTTGAAAGAGTCTCCTTTTTAACACAATGCAGAATTTATTGAAAATAAATAATTGCTGGCAACTGCAATAGGCAATTTGAATAAAATAGTTGAAAAAGCAACTCTTAATGAAAATAGCGTTTATTATACATCAGTTACTAAATGAATAAACTAAATGATCTTTCTTTAAATTAATAACTTCAAAAACGTTTAATATACAAAACTGTACAATTATAAAGTTGGCAGAAATATTTGGGTTAACTCAGGTTTGAACCATAGCATTTAACTGCAAAGAAAAAAATAGAAACAAACGAATAATCCTAACAGTTGTAAAATATAAACTCAATGTGGAAAAAAAATCACAGAACTAAACCCAAGTACCAACAGAGTGCAGAGGCTTGACAAAAGAGAAAAACGGTTCGGGATTTGAATTAACTCGTGCTCTTGGACCTGCAGCTGTGGAACACAGTGTGGTGGACCAGAGTTCTGGCAATTCATACTGGAGCATCTTCCACAAGGGGCCCTAGGCTATCTGGTCCTTAGGTAGTTTGAAGTTTTGTCTACTGCAGCTGCGCCTGGAGGCCCAGCTAGGCGGCCAGCCAGGGCATACAAGTTCCCAGGCATTTCTGGCGGGCAGCGGCTGGGTGTTGGGTGCTTGACTGGCCAGCACATGTATGCTCCTTGGAAATGAGGTCTGTCTGTGGACCTGGCATGTGGACTTCAGAGCTAGCAGTAAAGCCACAGCAAATGCATATTTTTGGATATCTACATAGCCTAGCGAGATTTTTTTGTAGTTTTTGTTTCTTGTAAATAGTAATAATATACACACAACTATCTACACACATACGTTTGCACGCTCACACACGCACACACAGAGAGACGCATACACACAGAGAGATAAAAAACAGAAACCCAGCCACCCAGACGCTCACTAGCTAGCTCAATAGTCTGCATGGACTTTCCACCAGCTGTGCTTGTCCGAGGCATGGAGATGGCTCCACCCGTGTGAGCCCACTCAGCAAAAGCGGTATATACACGGGAAAGGATGTGGTAAAAGGCTAGACCAAAATCCCTGTGACCTTTGCCAATCATTTCATTGTCGTTCTTCACAAAGCAGAGAGCGCCCTCGCTACCCTTTCCCCAGGATTTCTCATTCAAGGAGCAGGCATTGAACTGGAGGTGAACTGAACGGGGAGGCGCTGACCCAGTCTGTCGCCAGCGTCTCGGCATCGTAGTCTCCAGCGAAATTCATAGCATGTGAAGGCAAAGTCCTTCGCTTAGGAGGGTCGAGGTGGGGTAGCGCTGGTGGTTGACCTGGAGAGGCTCTGGGCCTTTGGGGAGCTCCGAATGCAGGCATTCCAGACCTCGGTACCTTCAGAGTCCCCTCAGCTCCTTTCGCCGCCGACCTCTATCGCTGGAGCACTGCTGCCGAATTCTTCTCTGGCACCCAGATCTTCGCTGCAGAAGCCCAGCAAGGGCTCAACAGTTCTGGCAGGGAGGGCAGAATCCCTCAAAATATCCTCTCCTACTTCGCACTAGTTTGCAAACCCAATCAGCTTGCCTATTCTGCCCATTCTAGGCGCTCCACCCATGGGGAAAAACAAAAAACAAAACAAACATATATATATATACACGTGTGTGTATCATCAATAACTCTTTCCATTGTATTCTCTCTTCTCCTTACAGATTTGGGATGGGGGAGGGTGAGTGAATGGTGGTAGGCACATCTCTCCGCTCCTCCCAGCCTCACCTCCCTTTTCTAAGCAGTTAAAAAACCATCAGCTCAATGAAGGAATAATAATAATACCAATAATAATATGGAGTGGTCGATTAGATACAAATTATCTCACAAATATTGTGTACAGTTTGTAGTAAAACACCGCAGACATTTAGAAATGCTATAGAAGTTTTAAAAAATGCAAAACTAGTCTATTGTAATACAGATTTCACCTGAAATACAGCTGCTATAACCAAGGCGCTGAAAGGTTATTCAGAGGCACACATCTGTCTTCCCACCTCCCTCCCACATCCCTACCCCGCCCCCAAGTTACCCCACTCCTTGCTCTTCCTAGAGAGGAGCAACCAGACAAATCTTACTCAAAGTAAACAATATGTATTGATCAGTAGAAAAAGCCGGAGAGAAATGTTGCCTGGGCCGCAGGGGATAAGAAGTCCCCACCTGGACTGCTTAATGAAACTGTGTATCAGCGTTAAGAAGCCTTGAATGTGTGTGTGTTTCCTTTCTTAACATAAGTTAGGATCCCCTGTTGAAAGGGGGGAAGGGTAAAGAAAGAAAATTAAAACAAAACGAGAGAGAGAGAGAGAGAGAGAGAGAGAGAGAGAGAGAGAGAGAGATCTAGAAAATGGCAATAATGAAGCTGCATTGAAAGGAAGGGAGTGGGAGAGAAAGGAATCCGCGCTGCTCCCAGTGCGGCAGGTCACTTGCTTGCTTCCTGCAGTCAGAGATCGTGGCAGGATGTGTCTGTTTTCACGGTGTGCGAATAAACCTCATGTGGCTGCTGATCCCCTGGTGGAGTCATTCTTTTTTCTTTCTGTCTTCTATTACAGAACCAGACACGCACCACTTCTTTCTCCAACTGGAGACTGTCTGCCAGCGAGGAAATCTCCTGCGCCGCAGGCTTGGGACACTTGAGGAAATGCGTCTCCAGTACACCCTTGACACTCACCTCGATGGAGGTTCGCTTCTTGCGCTTGCGGCCCTGCGCTGCGATCTTGTCAATGCTGGTCGGGCTCCCTGTGGACGAATCAGCCTCCTCCAGCCACTTGTTCAGTAGCGGCTTCAGCTTGCACATGTTCTTGAAACTCAGTTGCAAGGCCTCGAACCTGCAGATGGTGGTCTGCGAGAACACGTTTCCATATAATGTGCCCAGTGCCAACCCCACGTCGGCCTGTGTGAAACCCAACTTGATTCTTCTTTGTTTGAACTGTTTGGCGAACTGTTCCAGTTCATCCGAGGTTGGCGTCTCCTCGTCGGAGTGGTCCTGGCAGTGGTGTGAGCCTAGGTCGCTGTGGTCTGGGGGCTCTCGGAGCACTGGGTGTAGGCTCTGTGCGGTGGCAGAAGCCGGTGGTGGGGTGAGCCCCCCGTGCTCTAGCATGCCGCTCACGGTGAAGCCCGGCTGCGAATACACGTTAAGGGGTTGGCTGCTCGACGTGATGGACGGGTTCGAAGCTGGGCTCGTCCCCCAGGCATTGGGGTGGTTAGTGTGCGGAGAGTGGTGGGCGACGTGAGGCGAGCGGTGATGGATGATCGCGCCCAGCTGTAGGTCTTCTCGCCCGGGTTTCACGTCCTGCTGGTCCAGGGGGCTGGTGGCCAGTGTGGAGGACCATGGGCCTCCGTCGCTCAGACTGGTCACCCAGTGATGTCCGAGGGGGTGCCCATTGCTCGGAACTCCCTGCAAGTAATCACTTTGGAGAAGTTTCTGAGGGTTTCGGAAAGGGCTCCCCTGCTGCATGCCCGCAGAGTCCGCATGGACCAGAGAGCTGGAACTGAGGATGCTGTAGGGATTCGAGGCAGCTGTGGCCATGGTCGGTGAGGAACCCCTACTAGTTATAATGTGGCAAAGGGAGCAGCTTCAGCCTTTGACATCTATCGTGCGGGGGAGCCAAAGCAGCCAGAGCGAGTTACCGGCACTCACCGCGGCCAATCGCAGCGGGTCTCGGCCTGGCCAGCCATGGGTTCGGCCAATGGCTGTGCGGGAGGCTGGGCTAGCTTTCCAAATTAGGCTGGCGAAGCTCTGAGAGTTTCAGTGAGATCCAAGCAGGAAGTGAATCAAATCTTTCTGCTTCGTTGACTGCCTCGCGCTGAGTGGCGGCAGCAGATTATTTGGTTAACCCACCACCAGGACCACCACCACCACATACTTCGTCCCTGTCTGTAGTGGAGGGGGAAGAATTAGAGGGATGGGTTTGTTTGTGTGTGTGTGTTTAGGCTGATAGGGGGTGAGGCTGCAAACTGGCTTTTACATTATTTAGGTTAACTCAAATGGAGAACGAAAAATATATTAAGAAAATAATGTAACCAGTTTAAATGCCATCTATATATTAATTCATATGGATTTTTTTCCTCAGATTCATTTGGCTTTCTGGGTTGGTTGTGTGTAAAGGACTGCAAAATAAAATTTCGCTACAAACTTTGAGCAAAGGGGATGTCTTCGGTAGGAACTGGAATCTATAGACTGAAGTCCATGTTTCCAATAAGAGTTATTTTGACTTATATATTTCATTTTACATTTATAACAAACTTGATGCCAAGGTCAGAAAGCCATGTAAGAAAGAGATGCCCAGTTTCTTCTGGAGAAAAAGAAAAAAACAAACAAACAAAAAAAAAACATTGTTTAAGGCATGAAGAACTGGAATATTCTTGGAAAGTGAAATCTAATGGGATACTGGCAAAATTCAAAGTTATTTTGAAGTTTGCCTTCCAATCCTGTTGGTTAATTGGAAGACTTGGTTTTTATTATGGCTGTATGTCAGCTCCCATCAAAGGTCCCACAACTTCTGTCAGAGGCAGAAGCTGGCAGCCCTTCCTCATACTCACCCCGGACTCTCAGCAGACCGATTCCCAATAGGTACACATGAGAAGTTTCCGCTACCGCGACCTATGCTGTCTTTTGGGAAAATTGTTTTTTAACACGTATCTATTTCCTCCACCATCATCGAAGACCAGTTGAAGTAAGTGGGAATTATTTAGTGTGCCCTGGAGAAAAAGGGGGAGGGAGAGGGGAGGGAGAGGAGAGAGAGAGAGAGAAGGGAGAGGGAGAGGGAGAGGGGGAGGGAGAGAGGGAGAGAGGGAAAGAGGGAGAGAGATTGCTTGGCATTAATACCGCTACCCTCATCATCCCCATCAAGCTTGAATTTGTTTCAGCTTGAGAGAACAAGACTGTTTTAATTTTTAGTTAGAAGAAAGGGAGAAAGACTTGCACTCCTCCTAAGCTTTTAGAAGTTAGGGAAGGATAAGTTCGTGTGCTCCAGAGCCCCACAGTAAAGGTTTTGCATGTAAGCAGAGTGGGATGAAATACAAAGATTTGCTCTAGCTGGGATAAGGAAACACCGGATACACAATGCGATCTCTGAATTTTAAAAATGACCTTTCATTGCATAATATTTGAGGTAACCTAGCTGCATAATTATTTTTGCACTTACAGAAGACAGCATTAGAGTTCCCTTATTGGTTTGAAATTCCATTAAATATATTGCAAGAGCTCCTAGGTTAAGCTTGATTTAAATTTGCATACATTTTCATATATTTAGCAGAAATAAAAGAAGGCTTGCAGCTACCAGAAAGTCATTAAGGCATTAGTTTCTCTAAGAAGACAGATCTGAAGAAAATGCAAGAAAATGAGAAAAATAAAAACAAGGTGAGCTTATTCTGCCATTCCTTTATATAGCTAAAGAGCATCTATTTCCTGTGAAATAAGTAATTACTTATGAGAGCACAGAGCAATAGGAGTTTATGTTGGTAAATGTAAATTGTGTCTTAGGCAGAAAAACCTGGCATCTGGTTGAGATGTATTTCTTTCTTTTTCTCTTTCTTAAAAAAAGGATAAACGTTTAATAATTATTGGCAGATAGGATCGTTTGCCATTTTCCTCCCTCCTCCTCCCTCACTGAAATTGTGCTTTCATTTGCTGGTATCCTATTGTAAAGGTTTATCTGCTTTTAACCTAGAACCAGTCTCTCGCTCTCTCTCTCCGCTCTCTCCCCCCCCCCTTTTTTTCCCTGCCAAGCTACCTCGTTTCTTTACTGCCACTGCATGTATCTTCCTTTGCAAGAAGGCAGCCTTATTTGTGCTTGAACTCTTGCTTCCTGAAGAAAAAAAGAAATTGTTAAAATCAAACAAAAATAAAAGTTTTCAGGTGCTCTATTAGGCTGCCTGTTTGAGGATCCATTTGCCAGTCTGTTGGGTCACTTTAGAGGTCAGAAGGAAGCACATTGAAAAAAAACCTTACCAGCAAAAAATCATGATCATTGCCACGTTGTTGTTGGCGGCGGTAGGTTCCCCACCCCCACCTTGCAGCTGCCTTTGGGTGAAAGAGTTGCTAATCTTAGTCTGACCATTCAGGGGGTTAAGGCAATTATCAATTGATAAGGCTTTTGCATGAAGAAGAAGGGGGTCCTTTTCCAAGTCTGATTTGCCTGAGTTCTTACAATCAACCTTCCTCTTGCCCTTGGCCTCTGCTCTGGGCAACTGGTTTGGCCAGACACGCAAAAAAGGTTCAGACAATTTGTTCCCAGGCTTGCGGGGGCGGGGGTGGGGGGGATTATGGAGTAGGAGGCATCTGTGCCCAGCGACAGGTTTTTACACCCTTGTTTTGCATTCTTTTAATGCAAGAATACCTTCTGTTAGGAGCAAAACCTGACTGCAGTGTTTTTCTTTCCTTTCCTTTTCTTTATTTTTCCCTCCCTCCTTCCCTCCCTCTTATTCTTCTCTCTCTCTCTCTCTCTCTCTCTCTCTCTCTCTCTCTCTCTCTCTCTTTGTTTCTATTTGTTTAAAAAATAGTTCCCATGAATACAGATAACACCTATGAAATTTAGGTGCAAGCACATCCTACAGCAGCTGTGGTAGAATCTTCTCTTCCAAGTAAGGTGTTCTGTTTTTGAAGAAAATATCTGAATATAGCCAAATCTTCTTGCTGTTCTAACTAATCTACTGGAGAGGTTTCCTTGGCCCTCTCCTGTCAGTCTAACTTCCCAAGTGTAACAGATGCCGCTCTCAAGCGCTCCTTTCTGCGGCTTCTCTTTATTTAGCTTCGCATATTTCTCCCCATGATCTGGGTTTCCATAGAGAGAGGAATAAAAGGGGGGACCATGGTCACAAATCCCCTGCCCCATGCAAAATAAAAGAGCCTCATTCAATAGCCGACCCCATCTGGACATGGGAGAAAAATAAGTCCATGTGAAGCTACTGTTGCAAATAGTTGGTAACTTATTTTTCATAGACTGAATTTTGCTTTAAACTCAACATTGACACTGGTAAACTGCTCTCTTGCATAGCTGGCAATATACACAGATTAGTGTTTTCCTCACCTTGATCTTGAAGTCCACTGCTGGGTCCTCAGATCTGCTTTACCCCACCCCCTCTAGAGCTATGGTTTTAATATAATAATAGCTGCCACAACCCTGTCAGGTTGGGGCAGCTAAAAGTTCCCCTGGAGAAGAGCCTGACTTACAAGTGGACGAAATGTAATTTTAGTAAATCCACACACCCATCTCCAGCAAGGCAGCACAAGTTTCCCTTCCCTTGCCAGGCTAGTACAAGACACCAACTTCATTCTTCCTTGGGTTGCCTTCATACCTCAATTAGCCAGCCACCTCACACTACCCATCATGTTGCTTGGTTTCTAAGAGGGCAATTCAGTTAATTTACAAAAGCAAGTCAGATTGGCTTGATTTACTTGTATGTTTTTCAATTATTTGTAACCTGGGAATTCACAGTGGCTCTCTTCCCTCACAACATCTAAGGATATATAACAACTCTTGAGAGTCTTCCCAGGAAACCCCCTCCCTCCTTTCCGGCAAGAAAAGACTCACAAAATAAATTAAGCCTATTAATGTGGTTCAGGTTGCACTCCTGTGGAAAAAAGGAGAGCATGTTTGCAGCTGGGCAGCCTGTGCCAGGCTCTTTCAGAAAGTGCCCCAGCCACGGGGATTATGCCTCTTATAGATTTCATATATGAGTATAGATTAAGAAGCATACTCATTATCCCTACAAATTGGAGGAAGGGGAGGCAGTCTGGGGTTGGGGCTGTTGGACGTTGGAGAGCAGGGTCAGGAAAGTCCAAAAGGCCAGATTTTAATGTCTATAATACAGCATGAAGCTCCAGATCATAGAATGTGGAACATAGGCGTGACCTCACGATAGAGAACTTCACCTTCAACACAAGTTCACTTTGGAAACAGGATGAGTTAGATTGGGTTTGGTAGCGATAAGCATACATTTTCTTTTTATAACCGGGGAGCTCATAAGGGAAGGGAAACAATTGAACAGCTTTTGAAAGCAGCAGAGAAAGAAGCCTTTTTCTTGGTGTTTGTACATAGAGCTCATGAGACTTTCTTGGTGTGAGACACAGCTGCCCTTCGGAGCACCAGCCCACTCTAATAGTTGTCATTGTTGTCCTTCTTCTTCTTCTTTTTTAATTCTTGGCAAACTGCGTGGGGGAAGGTAAGAGGCTCATAATATTCTGGGGAAATTAAAAAAAAAAAACCCGCATTAGCAGACATTAGCCAATAAGGATTCAAGCTCAATTAGTTTATTTTTTAGATCTCTGTTGGCTTTTCTTAATGTGAGGAAAAGAATCTTTAGAGGAAAGGCAAGAGGGAGGAGAAGGAGTGGTAGAATACAGCGAATGCCACAGAAAATACAAGGTAATTTAAAACATAAAATATTCACCATAAAATTTTAATAAAAATACCCCCGACCTTCAAGAACACTGGTCATTTGCTAGCAAAATCGAATGTCAGTGGGGAAGTGCTGAGGTATTGTGTAGCGGCTGCCGACAGGATGGTTAGAGGATAGGCTGGGACAATAGAGACCCTCACTGTGGAGGGAAAGGATTCTAGCTCCCACCGCTGAGTTGGTAAAG